ATCGCGTGAGACGCGCGGGGGGCCGCCTCCCCCCCCCCTCCCCCCTCCCTCCCCCCTCCCCTCGCGTCCCCGCGGTCTCGCGCTGCCGTGGGGCTCACGCGACGCCGGCGCATCCCGACACGAATCAGAACGGCGGAGGGGTCAGGGACGCGCTCCTCGCGAGCGACTCTGTGTGTGCGCTGTGAATGGATCGTGTGTTTGTTGAACCTCTTTCGCACTGGACGTAGCGAACCCTGATAATCGGAGGTGCGGGGGAAGGACAACAAACTAAACACAAGAAAGCAGTTCGCTCGTCCTTTTCGGCAAATCGTTTAATCGGTATCTGTAGAGAGTCAGGCTTCGCGTTGAAGTCAATGCGCGTGCAGTTGCCGGATGGATCATTATTATATCGTAGGTTCGCGACGCATGGCGATGGCTTGGGGAGGCCTTCATCCAGCAGTGGATTGCGCATGGCTGCTGCTGGTGATGTTTGTAATGAATGTTTGTTGTATGTAATTTATCTTTATTTAGAAAACATCAAATTAGCCGCATTCATTTTTGTGGACAGTCTTCTTGTGAGGCAGAGTGCTGCTAGCGAGCGCCAACAAGGGGCACTGCACGCCCGGCTGCCTTTGTCTCCCCAGTGCGGATGTTGACACAGCGCCGGGGACCTATTTAAGGCTGAGTTGACCTAGGGGAGGCCCAATATCGGTTGAGATATCACTCGCCACCTTCAACCAGCGGTGGATTGACAAAGGGCTCCACGTTTTTGTTTTATATCAACTCGAACGTGCGCGCGCGTGTAGCGTATTGCGTTAAAGCACCGTGCGTGTTACCGTGGTAGTGTGCAAAGACTGCCGTGCATGCGGGGCGGTGCCGGTCACGATAACCTCTGTCGCGTGGCCAATCCCGACCTGACGAGTTGCTCGCTAACAACACTTGCCCCAGCAGTGTGTCAGGCTACACGGGGGTATTGTATATAATGGGGGGAGCGGCAGTGTCGTGGTTCGTGCGGCACGAGAGCAGTTCCCTGGTGCTGCTGCTGCGGAGGCGCGCGCGTCGCTTGGAGCGCGGGACTCTCCGTGGCCTCGTCACGCGGAGTGCCCCTGTCGAGGTGTCGTAAACTCCCCGCGTGTTGACGACAGGCGCCGTTTTTTGCTGATTACTGCACTGCCCATGTGTGTGTATTGAGTGGGGAGCGGTGGCACAGCGGTTAGCGCACCGCGCTATGAACCCGGCCATCCGGGTTCGATTCCCGCCCACGGTCAACACCAGAGACGATTATCTGGACCGGTACTTGGTCTTCCCGAGGTCACCTACCTGCAGTCGAAATCGTAGATTTTTGTATTGTTCTAACTATTCTATGAACTATTATTTGACTCGGCTATGTGTTTGCGCTAATGTAATATTTATAAGCCTTCTAGAGTACACATACAGACGTGGATTATGACTGGCTGGCATTTTAGAATGTTAAATAAATCATAATAAACGTTGAGATGTTGTGAGGGGGTCTATAGGATGAGAGGGTATCCATAACGCTATATCCATAGCCATGTATCCCTACCCTTAATACAATCCTAACCCTACCGCCAACCCCATCGCCCGACAGGACTCAGCCCACTGATCCCATCGCCCGAAGCGCGGCAGCCCAATCCTGCTCCCCACCCCCGCGCATGCGCCGTGCGGCTCTGCGCGGATCTTTGTTCGCAGCGATCAAAACGTCACTCTGCGTTAGCGGCGGCGTGCAGAGACGCGCTCCCAGTCCCCTCGTCCCCGCTCCTCCCTCTGTCCAAAGCACTCGCTGCTCTCACCCTCTCTCTCCCCATCTCTCGCTCACTTCCTCCAGCGCTCTGTCTCGTCGACCCCATTGTAGCCGTCCCACTCTCTCTCGAGGTCCCCCACTCAACGTAAAGCTCGCACTCCCTCCAGCCCTCCTTTCAATGTACCCAACTCTCCCACAGCTCTCTCACCCGCTATCCGCCTCTGAGTCCCGCTCTCTCGGCCTCCCCCTCACTCTCTGCCGCTCTCTGAACCCCGAGCCCAGCGGGGGGCGGCTGCTGGAGCACGTGCCCCCCACCCCTGGCCACCGTTCATTTTATCAAACCCAGACGCTGCCCCCCGCGGTAGCCCCCCCCCCACTAACTTTAGAAGCTATAATAATGTATTTTTAAATCAGTCTATTATTACCCAGTCGTCAGTCTGCTGCTCGCACAACTCAATCGGAATTCATTTGCACCTCACAACCATCTCCCCTTAGTTGGCCCTAAACCAGGGCATATGATTATAGGAAATATGGTACAATAATATGGGATTATCATGCATATGCAGACATTTTACCCTCGTGTTAGTGCGTTACGCGGATAATCCCAACTCAATGCCAGCCCTAGAAGCGCTCCTGAAAATATCGACTGAGAAATGAGGCCTCGAGTTTAGACAACAAACTCATCATGCCCCCCCCCCCACTCGTCCACCCCCCTCTCGCCCCCTCCACCCCCTCTCGCACCCCCCCCCTCCACCCCCTCCACCCCTCTCGCACCCTTCCATGCACAGACGCGCACAGTGCCACAGTGCGTGCTGTTGGCTCCCTGCCCTAGCACCACGACCTTCCTCTCTGCCTCTGCTCGGCTATCTTTTTACAAAATAAGCCCTGCCGATTCTTTCTGTACAGCCTCTTGAATTGGAGTTGCATGTAGATGCTGGCAAATCCACATCGTGTTGCATGGAATAGATGATGATGATAATAATAATAATGTATACGTTCAAAGCACATTTCACCCGTAGCTCGCAAAGTGCTGCGCATCTACACGCTCACGTGTGCTTGCCTGTGTACGTCTCAACGCACGTGCAATCTTCATTCATTCACCAAAGCCCGTCGGTGCAATGCCATCCAGCCAAGACAGTCTCCGTAGACTGCCAGGAATGTGCCTTTGGCGGGCGAGTATTCAGGACAAAACACGCACACAAGCAGTCACGCAGAATGTATCGACTCTGACCAAATATCCCCCGAATAGTATTTGACAGACGTGGGGAAAGTTCTGTTTGCGAGCGCCTATTAAACTAAAATACGTTTTTTTATCGTACCAGGTATCGCTATTTTTCAGAAGCGACCTGGCCCCAAATGAGAGCTCAACGAAGTAGCGTATCATGTGGAAATGTATAGCAAGGCCGGTGGGGCGTACGAGGGGGTGGTGTGGTCAGTACTTCGCCACTCTATCACTGTGCACCCCATGGCCTGGTAATCATCACCAGCACGTTGGTCCGTTACCACTGTATCCACACAACATCGAGGATGCACGCTGGGTCCAAACAAGAACATCTGTTGCACTGCCCAGTTGCCGGCGAGCGAGGATGACCCACGTGCTTGATAACAGCGCCTATCGTGGACCTGGTTTGCCCCCTGAACACCGCCTTGTTGTTATTTGTCACCCGTGAGATGCACGCCATTCAAACGCACGCCAGCCTGGTCCCAGCTGATGAAAGTAGCAAGCGAGCACCCCGCCCCGAACCCCCGCCCACTCCCCCCGCCCCCTCCCACGTGCACGAGAGATATGGCCGCTACTGCTCTGGTAGCATTGGTGGCCCAGTCCAGCCAGACCTCGCCAGAAGCCCTGGCCGACCGAGGAGGTGTTCCAGCTATCTGAGAAATAGCGGCAGGCCCAACCTCACCGTCTACAACGTCCCGTGTGTAGACGAAATGTCACGGGCAGCACTGGGTACTGGCAATCCAGAGGCTCGTATGTATGTAGAACTTCTTTGTATGTATGTATGTTTACCTTCTTTGTATATATGTACAACTTATTTGTGTATGTACGTTCACCTTCTATCGCACTGTACATAGTCAACCGTGAGAATCGGAGGTTTGAGTCAACCTCGGGCGTGTATCGTGGGGTAAAGTGTGGGTGCTTCCTAAGGTCTGTTCAGCGTGGAAGAGTAGACCAAATATTATCGAGTGCTCTCACTCGTGGCGTGAACCATGCTGACGGATTACAGCCAGCAGTTCACCTCACTGTGCAGAGATCGTCCTAGGAAGATGACATCACCGAGTTAAGTCTGAAGTCACTGGAAAACAAACAAACCGATGTATCCACACACGCGCCACGGGTGTTAAGTGCGGTGCCAATAGTGGTTGTGTTTGTTCAGGAGCAATTAATCTGAATCGTGGTAATCTTAGAAATGCAATGAGCCAAATTGAGGGACAAGTGAATACGAGACTTTGTTTCGTGTCCAGTCATTGGTGTCTGGGGCGAGACTTTCTTCTTCACTTGAGAACCCGGTTTAACCACAGGGGGCTGAAGCTGGAATTGAACCCAGGTTCTCAGCTCGTGACCTCAATTGCCGGGACACACAGAGGGTGGCTCCTTGGCACGTAACGATGTATTGATTCATGAACATCGATTCTCGAGAGTGTGGGAATTAATTTAACTTACAATTCATGCAGACGAGATACTCGCGTTAAACCTGGGCTAGAGGAGTGGCCGGACCTGGAACACGAACACAGGGAAACGAAGAATCATGCGAATCAGAGGGCAGCACGAGATCAATAAATGTGTTTGTCCTGAAATCAAATCGCGATCTCGAATCCTGACAATTCATCGCTTTGCTTCGACAGATAATGTCTCTCCTACTTCCCCATGCTCCTGGCACTGCTCCCCACGCTCCTGCCAAGCCTCACTGACCACCCTCGCACTCCACCTGGGACTGGTTGCAGCCTTTGCTGAATGCTGCCGCGGGATGATGTTGACCACTCCACAGACATCCCGCCTGGTGTTGTTCTCGCGGCTCGTATTTCGTCTTCATAGAATTGATTGCAGGAATGCCGGGACGAATAATAGGAGATTACTATGGATAGGCGGACCTTGTACGCCGATAAGCCCACTCCAGGCCAGCCTTAACAGAGTAGCCGAAGGTATTGATTGCGGAATGAAGCCCTGCGTGTTCTACCTGCAGCTACGTGTTGCCAACCGCAGGTGCAGGCTGCCCAGGGCCAGGGCACTGAGTGTGGCGTTGTGCGCGCGTTCCAGGCCCGCGCAACCGCAAGCCCAAGAAGTCGGCGGGTGGAGTCGCGGCCGGAGTCGTGGGGGGAGGCGGCGCGGCCGCGGCGGCCGCGGCGGCCGCGGCGGCCGCGGTGCCGCCAGCCGGGGCCGCGGCCGGCGAGGAGAAGCGGCCTCGGACCGCCTTTTCGTCCGAGCAGCTGTCGCGTCTCAAGGCCGAGTTCCAGGCGTCGCGGTATCTCACCGAGGCGCGGCGCCAGGCCCTCGCCCAGGAACTTCAATTGAACGAGGCCCAGATCAAGATCTGGTTCCAGAACAAGCGCGCCAAGCTGAAGAAGGCGAGCGGAGTGCGCAACCCGCTCGCCCTGCACCTCATGGCGCAGGGCCTCTACAACCACTCGGCGGGCTCCGGGGGCGCCAGGGGGGCGGCGGCGGGGGGGGAGAGGACGGACAGCGAGTGACGCGGGGGGGGGGGGCGGTGAAGAGGGGCGGGCGGTGGGGGGAAGGTTGACGGAGGGAGGAAGAAGAGTCCGAGGATGATGTTTTGTTTTGACGTGTCGTGTGAACTCGCAGATTCGCTCGCTTACGATGAATGCACTCGGGTGATCACTCACTCACTCGTTCACGTACTCGGCTATGCTACTCACTCAAACACCCATGTGTTTACGCACCCACGCACTTATTTACAGACTTACTCAACATTTAATTCACCCATGTGTGCGCTCGTTCACTCACCCACGTGACCCTTTCCATCCCACACACTCACCCGCACGTTCACACTCAACACACACACACACTCATCTAGAAACACACCACATATATTCACACTCACACACATTCACAGTGACACGCACTCTCTCACCCCACACGCACAGGCGTTGCGAGGCACAGCGCGCGCGCCTGCAGGCCGAGCGTTCAGCCAGCGGGGCCGCGCACAGCCTCGTCGCAGTGTTACCGACAGGGTCCTTACATCGGCCTCTTCACACTACCGACAACTGCTTACCGGTTTGCTGTACGTATCTAAATGTGTCTCATTACACGTAACGCGTTTGGCTTCTGAACTGAGAAACGAAGGGAGCTGCCACAGTGGACTAACGGTGAGCAACACAAGGGACTACATCTCCCGGCGCGGCATTTGAAACAGCCGCGTGTGTTCACGCAGACGGCTTCACCGCACTTCACTGCATCGGCAGGGTCGCGTGTGGTGGTGGTGACGTGTGGGTACGCCCACCTCTTCCTACACAAAATAAAACAGGCAACGGTTACCGACCGGCTCCTGACTTTCGGAACCGGTAACCAATTACCAAAAAGGTTACCGGTTTATCGGGTACCGTTGAGCAACCCTCGGTGTTATTAGTATTGTAATATACGTCGCCTCTGCCTCAGTGATTCAGGAGCTCAGCCTCGGACCGCTCCGGCTGAAATGAAGCCCCGGAGAGAGTTACACTGAGGAGTGAAATATAAATTATGAACAATTTACTGAGCAAAGAAAATTACGTTTCAGGTCGTGGGTCTTTTGAAGTTTTTAATTTACAAGATAAGACTGTTGGTCTTACTTATAATATAATTACTATATAATGTCGCTTTATATGTCGTCTAAATGTAACCGCATCTAAAGACCCGATAGGAAGAGCAGCCGGTATATTTATTGCGTAGAGAGAAAGTGGCAGGGACAGTCCTATATCTCTGTGTGAGTCTATGGGTCTCTGTGTGAGTCGATGGGTTTGTGTGTGAGTCTATGGGTCTCTGTGTGAGTATATGGGTCTCTGTGTGAGTCGATGGGTTTATGTGTGAGTCTATGGGTCTCTGTGCGAGTCTATGGGTCTCTGTGCGAGGCTATGGGTCTCTGTGCGAGTTTATGGGTCTCTGTGCGAGTCTATGAGTCTCTGTGTAAATCTGGAGAGAGATGCAGTCAGTCACAGGCAGAAAGTAAAAGGGAAGGTCCTGAATCGGGAGTTCAAGACTGCAGGGGCAGCAGAACCGTATGAGCCGACTTCCCACGGAGTGAAGCTTGACTGGGGGGTTGGGTAGACATCCTTACGAAGGCTGGTTGGCCGAAACGTCGAATCTTCTCAGAGATACCCTTACCCCGTATTATTTGTATTGTTGTCACACGTTAGACCCCGGCTTTAGCGCGTGTAGTATTCACTTTGTGAGTGTAGCTATAATGATGTCGTGTTTATGATTTGACAAACGCGATCACAAACCAAATGAAGAATATTTCTCTCTTTAGTTACGATTCTCACGATCGCGGTGCACGCCTCGAATAGTGAATGCCGAGTTAACGTGCACACACCCGCCCCCTTTTGTCTACCCACTGCTGGATGAGCCCCCCTCGCCCCCACACGTCGCATGGGTCGTTGGGGTTATTCGACCATGCTTCTCCACGCTGGTCAGTGCTGGTCGGTGAAAGGCGGGGGAACTTAGATTGTGTGGCAGCATAGACGTGCAGTACAACTGTTTTGTATGTTGCCGTTCTGCCCTCTGGTGACGACGTCGCAGCAGCCTGTAGTACTTGTTTTGCACGGTGGTTGTCCATCCTGGCACGATAATAATTCACGGTTTCTGCATTTTGTATTTGTATTTTCCAATATTACCTCGAGGGTAAAATGTCGTCATGGTGTGGTGATCAGCACAATTGACTTGCAATGCAAGTCCTGTCCCACCGCCTGTGTCTACCCTGCGGCGTAGATTGATACAAAGCATTTGATCGGTGGCTCGTGTGTGGTGGGGTAAAGTGTGGGTGCGACTACCTATTTTAAAACGTCTGGTCAGCGTGGAAGAGTAGGCCAAAGCACCCTGCAGAGAGAACTCTGTAGTGGGGGGCATTCTGCTCGCAGTGGCTTGAGCAAGGAATTGCAGGGCTGCACCTTCACCCCGTCTCTCTGGGGTCATGGTCGGAACCAGAGAGTCCCACCGAGGTGCAGAGAGGCAGCGACTCTCCAATCGAATCGCGACAATCGAGTCGCGGCGCCGAATCGGCGATTGTGGCAGCGGAGGCGCACGGGCACCGGCTAAACAACAACAACACCACTCACCACCATCATTAGCCCTGTCTTTTAACGGACATACAGCGAACGTGAATGACGTTTCGCACAATGGTCCTTCTTCAGGGCAGAGGGAGGATAAAGAACGAGTGACTACTCGTCATGAGGCATGGGGCACCTCCACGCGTCATCACAGGGGCCCAGAGACTCCACGGCGGAGTCGTCTCCCGCGCTGCCGACCCCGCCGCTCCGCCTGCTGCTCGGCGGCCGCGACTGTCCCCAGGGCTGCCTCCCCTCCCACCCCCTTGGGCTGCCTCCCCTCCCACCCCCTTGGGCTGCCTCCCCTCCCACCCCCTTGGGCTGCCTCCCCTCCCACCCCCTTGGGCTGCCTCCCCTCCCACCCCCTTGGGCTGCCTCCCCTCCCACCCCCTTGGGCTGCCTCCCCTCCCACCCCTTTGGGCTGCCTCCTCTCCCACCCCCTTGGGCTGCCTCCCCTCCCACCCCCTTGGGCTGCCTCCTCTCCCACTCCTTGGGCTGCCTCCCTCCCACCCCCTTGGGCTGCCTCCCCTCCCACTCCCTTGGGCTGCCTCCCCTCCCACCCCCTTGGGCTGCCTCCCCTCCCACCCCCTTGGGCTGCCTCCCCTCCCACCTCCTTGGGCTGCCTCCCACCCCCTTGGGCTGCCTCCTCTCCCACCCCATTGGGCTGCCTCCTCTCCCACCCCCTTGGGCTGCCTCCCCTCCCACTCCCTTGGGCTGCCTCCCCTCCCACCCCCTTGGGCTGCCTCCCCTCCCACCCCCTTGGGCTGCCTCCCCTCCCACCCCCTTGGGCTGCCTCCCACCCCCTTGGGCTGCCTCCCCTCCCACCCCCTTGGGCTGCCTCCCACCCCCTTGGGCTGCCTCCTCTCCCACCCCCTTGGGCTGCCTCCCCTCCCACCCCCTTGGGCTGCCTCCTCTCCCACCCCCTTGGGCTGCCTCCCCTCCCACCCCCTTGGGCTGCCTCCCCTCCCACCCCCTTGGGCTGCCTCCCACCCCCTTGGGCTGCCTCCCCTCCCCTCCCCTTGGGCTGCCTCCCCTCCCACCTCCTTGGACTGTCTCCCATCCCCTTGGGCTGCCTCCCCTCCCACCCCCTTGGACTGTCTCCCATCCCCTTGGGCTGCCTCCCATCCCCTTGGGCTGCCTCCCATCCCCTTGGGCTGCCTCCCATCGCCTTGGGCTGCCTCCCATCGCCAACCTCTCTCGTGTCCGCCTGCTCTCACCTCTTCTGTGCCCAAGTCCACTCACGTCACCCAACAGAGATACACAAATGGATGTATCGTTAATCTTACAGAGCAATGCAAACAGAGAGATTCAACTCACTTTTATGAATGCATCATGACACGATATATAGTTGCGAGGGTAATGTTTCCAGCAATGACTCTTCTGCAGAACGCATAGCAGAATTTTGACTTACTGACTGAGAGTAGAATTGACCGACTTGTGGTTAACTTTGTCGAGGATAACAAACGTTACATTATCTTAGTTAACTTTATAAATATAACAAACATTTTATTTGGGTTTTTCGGTAAAGTCACGTAGATAGGTTTCAATTAATAAAAATAGAATAAACAAAAAACTACGACGTTTCGATCACAACACAAGCGATCGTCATCAGGAGGAAAAATCCGACGATTGCTTGGGTTGTGATCGAAACGTTGTAGTTTTGTTTATATATTTTTTTTATTAATTTGCACCTATCTATGTGACTTTACCGAAAGTCTCAAATAATATGAATTTCTGCAGTCACGAAATCTTTAAGTCAAGATTTAACAAACATTACATTACATTAAGCTGTCGTGTCTGTCTCTGTCTGCTACACTATCAGGAAAGCGCGAGTAACTTTTGTCCAGAACCAAACTCGGTGTTCCCGCATTCGTGAGCAGGTGTCATGCATCGCTGGTTAATTAAATATGAATATGATGAAGTTGTATCACTCAGAGTGACAGCAAACACAATCTTATTAGTTTGAAGCAATTTTAATTTACGTTTTGTCTATTATATATTTTTTTCCTGTCACGAGGCAGAGGGAATGGACCGAGGCGGCGAGCCGTATCATTTGTATGTCGGGAATGCGTGTCGCACATGCACTGCTGGTGGGGCAAGGTGTGGGTGCGCCAACTGCTTCCAACACGTCTGGTCAACGTGGAAGAGTCGACCAAGTACCCTCCAGTCAGCTCTAGAGTGGAGGCCCATACACACGTGAATATATGCATGTCTACACTCATGCGTGTGTACATACACGTAGCCAGACATGCATCACACATACAGAGGGCACGCGCTGCCATGCGTGTTACAGAATCACACGTACAAATATGCGCACGTATGTGCGTGCGCCCACGCAAGCACACATATACACGTGTAAATACACGTGTACATACACACAGACACGCGCGCGCACACATTCACTTGCATATAACGCGTAGATACATACACGTGCT